TTTATTTTCTGTATCACTATATTTAATGAAGGCAATCAAATGGTAAGTGTAACATAGGTGATTTTTTTTAATAATTGCACAACCCTTTTCTACTTGTCTTGTTACCTACATAGTTACCGACCTGTCAAATTCTTTCTTGATTGACCAATGGTGACGAAGTGAGACAAAATATCTTGTATTCCAATAAAATAAAATAAAGAGGAAAAGAAACAATCGGAGATGGTCATAGAATTTCTCTGATTGGGGTTATGAACTCAAAACACATAATATAATCAGAAGCATGGTGATTAGAAGGAAGTGCAACTGGTATGCCGTGCTCCTATTACTAGCTGGTTAAAAACACGGGAATGTTATATCACATCATTTGAATCTAGTCTCAGGGGCTCTACTCTGCAGATTAGTGAGATTAATTACGACCATACCTAGATAAGGTTTTTAAGAATAGTCAATTACAAGAAGACAGCTGTCTTGCTTTACAAAATCTATAGAAAAAATTTATATTTATAGCATTGTTCATAACTTTTACCTTACTGTCAATTGTCATGAATGTTATTTGTGAATTAGGGTTGGACAAAACTCTCGACCCGAACCGAACAGTTCTTCTTAAGGTAAATACCAAAACGTGTATTTAAATTGAGAATATATGGATTTGGATCGGTTCTTGGTTCTAGATCAAGAACCGAAAAATCAAATAAGAACCGAATCTTCCTAATTTTTTGAATTTATTTGTTTTAAATATATCAATTTATTTTTTTTTTTCTAAATAAATTTACTAACTAATTAATTTAGCTCAAAACCAAAAATATAATTTTTACTATTTTTAATTTTCAGTTTAAGTTCAACTTAATCAAATTGATTTAAGTTTTACCCAAATCTGTTATTTTACTATAGTGTTGTATCTATCGTTTTGAAAAAATCAAATTGAAGCTTGATTGTGCCTCTTATATTTATTGTAAGTTCGCTATCTTTCTCTTCCTGTGATTTTAACAATCAAACATAAAGAGAGACGTAAAAAAATACATAAGATTGGAAAGATTAAACATTATTATTTGAATTAATATAGCTTTAAAACATTAAAAAATAACGTATTAAAATCAGATTTTTAGTAAATTTTGATTGATAAAAATTAATAAAATATGTTATTGAAATGTCGTGAATTTCATAAAGCGTGTGATTAAAATAAATTGTTGATTTTGATTTAGGATAAAATTCAGACTTTAATCCTTCAAACAGGGGCTTAATATAGATGTTGGATATGTTTGGCGTGTGGGTGACTCATTTACCAGAAGGGTTCGAGGAGAGAACTAAAGGACGTGGGGTGGTTTTTACAAGTTGGGTTCCTCAACTCAAGGTACTGAGCCACGAGTCGGTGGGTGGAATCTTGTGTCACTCCGGGCTGAGCTCAGTCGTGGAGGCTTTGCAATTCGGGAAATGGATAATCTTGTTGCCTTTCTTGGCGGACCAAGGAATGATTTCCAGCCTATTGGAGGAAAAGAAGTTGGGACATGAGATAGCGAGAAATGAGTTGGACGGATCATTTACTAAAGACGCAGTTGCTTACTCTCTGAGATTGGTGATGGTGGAAGAAGGAGGTAAAGTTTACAGGGAAAAGGTTAAAGAGATGAGAGAATTGTTGTCGAATAAAGATATACAAGATGGTTATATGGAGCGATTCTTAGATCATCTACAAAATCACAAGAAGGCTTAAAGTATTCTAATAGAAATAAATACACTTTCCAAGTGAATTATGAGTGTATCGTTTATGCATTGCTTGGCTTGTATGTAACTGTTGAGAGAGAAATGATAGACAAGTACAGAGATAAGAGATGAACAGAAGAAGATCTACTTGTATATGATGTAACTCTCTAGCTTTTCAAGTGACTCCAATACGGGGATTGTTGTTTTAGCCTGGGAGAATTTAGATTTGGGTAATAGCATGCATCTTTTTATAATATCCAAGTGTTAAAACGCTTGGATTGGATAAGATTTTTATACTAAAGTAAACAAAAGCTAAAGGTTTCTTTCAAAATCAAGAGAACAATAGAGTAGAAAGAATAGATTTCATTCAAAAGCTTTAATCCACTTGTCTATCTTGACTTTCAAAAGTATGCTTGTTTGCTATGTGCATTTTCATCCCTACCAGAATAGATTATTTACAAGAAGGGACGAATTCATGACAGAACTGTGAATATATGAACTAGGGTACCTATTGAATCCAATCCGGAAGATTCCATAGAGATCAACTGATAGACCTCTACTGCATATTATTTTGGAGGAGAAATTAACTTATTTTTTTCCGAATCGTGCTTCATGGAAGCATCTCCACCCATCAATTCCTTTTCTACTTGTCTTGTTACCTACGTACCTACCGACCTATCAAATTGTTTCTTGATTGACCAATGGCGACGAAGTGAGACAAAATATCTTGCATTCCAAAAAAATTTAAAATAAAGAGGAAAAGGAACAATCGGAGATGGTCATAGAATTTGTTTGATTGGGGGTTACATTTTGAATTCAAAACACATAATATAATCGGAAGCGTGGTGATTAGAAGGAAGTGTAACTGGTATGCCATGCTCCTATTACTAGCTGGTTAAAAACACTGGAATGTTTTATCACATCATTTGAATCTAGTTTTAGGGGCTCTGCTCTGCAGATTAGTGAGATTAATCACGACCATACCTAGATAACACCTGCGTAGACATGTTTTGGGTGGCATTGGATTCAGGTTTGAAGATAACTTTTGCATTAATCTACGAGTATAAATTTTTTTAACAGAATTGGTACATGACATAGTTGTCTTCTTGTGATTTACTGTTGCAAAAAATTGTTTTTAACAATAATCAATTACGGGAAGACAGCTATCTTTCTGTACAAAATCTGCAGAAAAAATCTATACTTATAGCACTGTTCATAATTTTTACTTTACTGTCAGTTGTCATGAATGTTATTTGTGAATTAGGATTGGACAAAACTCTCGACTACGAACTGAGCGGTTCTTCTTAAGGTAAATACTCAAACGGGTATTTAAATTGAGAATCTACAGATTTGGATCGGTTCTTGGTTCTAGATCAAGAACCGAAAAATCCAATAAGAACTGATTCTTTCTAATTTTTTTAAATGGGTAATTGGCACAAAATGTCCCTACCTTTCAATTGTATTGTGGAAAACATCCTTACCTTTCATTTTTTGGCACAAAACGTCCCTACCTTCCACTTTTTTGGCGCTGAACGTTCTTTTCATCAATTTTTGACGATTTTACCCTTCATTCAAATAAATAAAAAAAAAGAAAGAAAAAAACAAAAATCTAATTGCAACCACATTCCCAAAATTTCTAAAAATTGCAAATGGTAACTTAATAAGTACCATATTAAATAAATTGAAAAAAAATCAAAAAATTAAGAAAAAAATTAAAAAAATGGGTTGTCTTCTTCACCACACCACACCACACCCTATTATTCATCTTCTTCTTCTCTCACCCCACCCCACCCCACCATACAAAATCTCTCTACACAGCAAATCCTCCAAATTCGAAGCCCTATTACATCTCTCTGCACAACTGAACAGGATATAATTTATAAATCAAACTACATGCAGCTTTAGAAAACTGAAAAACTGAATTACAAAGAAAGATTAAAAAATAAAATGAACTTACAATGTAAGAGAGTGCAATATCAGGGTCAATGGTGGAATCGTCACCATCATTCTGAAAACAGTCAGCCTCTCCTTCTTCAAGTTCATTTTCTTCCATTTCTAACCCTAAACCTGACAAATTTCCCCCATCTATACTACCCACAGAAATCATCAAAACTGAAAAATAACAATAATAGAAGATAAATAGCAAAAAGTAAGCTATTAACAACCCCCGCGTCACCGTTTACTTTACTCTAAAAACCGCTTCTAAAACCAAAAATCTCAAAGATCCATTTGACAAAATCTCAAAGTAAGCTATCAGTTACGATCTACCTCTTTGTACAAGCTCCTTCATTTTCATATACAGTATCAAACCCCATTGTACAGAGAGATGTAATGGGGCTTCGGATTTGGAGGATTTGCTGTGCAAAGAGATTTTGTATGGTGGGGTGGGTTGTCGTGAAGAAAACAACCCATTTTTTAATTTTTTTTCTTAATTTTTTGATTTTTTTTTTTCAATTTATTTAATATGGTAATTATCAAGTTACCATTTGCAATTTTTAAAAATTTTGGGAATGTGGTTGCAATTAGTTTTTTTGTTTTTTTTCCTTTCTTTTCTTTTTGTTGTATTTGACTGAAGGATAAAATCGTCAAAAATTGATGAAAATGACGTTCAGCGCCAAGAAAGTGGAAGGTAGGGACGTTTTGTACCAAAAAATGAAATGTATGGATGTTTTTCACAATACACTTGAAAGGTAGGGACGTTTTTTGCCAATTACTTGTTTTTTAAATTTATTTGTTTTAAATAAATTAAATTATTTTATTTTTTCTAAATAAATTTACTAACTAATTAATTTAGCTTAAAGCCAAAAAGTATGATTTTTCCTATTTTTATTTTTCATTTCAAGTTCAACTTAATCAAATTGATAAGTTTTACCCGAATCTGTTATTTTACTGCAGTGTTGTATCTATCGTTCTCGAAAAATCGAATTGAAGCTCGATTATACCTCTCATAATTATTGTGAACTCGCTATCTTTCTCTTTCCGTGATTTTAACAATCAAACATAAAGAAAGACGTAAAAAATACATAAGATTGTGTTACGTTATTTATAAGAGTTGATTATTTTGAATTAATATAGCTTTAAAACATTAAAAAATAACGTATTAAAATCAGATTTTTAGTAAATTTTGATTGATAAAAATTAATAAAATATGTTATTGAAATGTTGTGAATTCCATAAAGTACGGGATTAAAATAACTTGTTGATTTTGATTTAGGATAAAATTTAGACTTTAATCCTTCAAACAGGGTCTTAATATAGATGTGGATATGTTTGGTGTGTACCAGTGGAAAATATCACTCATTTGCTGGCGTTCCTGTGGGGATAGTTGCGGTATGAAAAGCATGTTGAAATTGTACTGATCTAATCAACATAAATATCTCAATCACAAACCTTCATAGTATAATCAAGAATCTTGTGCACTGCACCTCTAAATCTGTAGTCCATGGCTGAGCAGGGTAAATTGCATATTCTCATGTTCCCATGGCTGGCCTTCGGTCACTTGATTCCATACCTAGAGCTCGCCAAGCTCATAGCCCAGAAAGGCCACAGTGTCTCCTTTGTTTCGACCCCCAGAAACATTGATCGCCTTCCCAAACTGCCTTCGAATTTAACCCATCTAATAGAATTTGTCAAGATTCAATTGCCAAAAGTTGATAGTCTACCTGAAGATGCAGAAGCCACCATTGATGTACCATTCGATATGGTCCGCTACCTTAAAATTGCCTTCGACAAGCTTCAGCCAAGAATCACTTGTTTGTTGGAAGACTCCGCAGCTGACTGGATTATTGCCGATTTTGCTCAATACTGGTTATACCCAGAAGCTGCTAAACTCAACATTCCATGTGCTTTTTTCAGCATATTTACTGCAACTCTTTTGAGCGTTACTGGTCCAACATCACTTACATTACAAAATCAAGATGAAAGGGTGAAGCCCGAAGATTTCACTGTGAAACCCAAGTGGGTACCCTTTGAAACATCTGTTTCTATGCGCTTTTTTCAAATTAATCGCCAGTTTAAGGAGGCAATTATAGACGGAGGTAATGTTTCGGACATTTACCGATTGGTAGCCACGATTGACGGCTGTGATGTGGTGGTGATGAGAAGTTGTTATGAGTTTGAGCCTGAGTGGCTACAACTTCTAGAGAATATTTACGAAAAACCAATTATTCCAGTCGGCCATTTGCCCCCAAAAACTACTGATAGTGGTTCTGATGAGCAAAATGAAAACTGGATTGAAATTAAGGAATGGCTTGACGCGAAAGAAAAAGGATCGGTTGTTTATGTAGCTTTTGGAAGTGAAACGAAACCAAATCAAGATGAACTTATTGAAATTGCATTAGGCTTGGAGAAGTCGGAATTGCCATTTTTCTGGGTTCTGAGGAAGCAACGAGGGGCAGCAGATAATGAGGTGACTCATTTACCAGAAGGGTTCGAGGAGAGAACTAAAGGACGTGGGGTGGTTTTTACAAGTTGGGTTCCTCAACTCAAGGTACTGAGCCACGAGTCGGTGGGTGGAATCTTGTGTCACTCCGGGCTGAGCTCAGTCGTGGAGGCTTTGCAATTCGGGAAATGGATAATCTTGTTGCCTTTCTTGCTGGACCAAGGATTGATTTCCAGCCTATTGGAGGAAAAGAAGTTGGGACATGAGATAGCGAGAAATGAGTTGGACGGATCATTTACTAAAGACGCAGTTGCTAACTCTCTGAGATTGGTGATGGTGGAAGAAGGAGGTAAAGTTTACAGGGAAAAGGTTAAAGAGATGAGAGAAATGTTGTCGAATAAGGATATACAAGATGGTTATATGGAGCGATTCTTAGATCATCTACAAAATCACAAGAAGGCTTAAAGTATTCTAATAGAAATAAATAGACTTTCCAAATGAATAATGGATTGTGTATCGTTTGTGCATTCCTTGGCTTATATGTATCTGTTGATAGAGAAATGATAGACAAGTAGACAGATAAGAGATGAACAGAAGAAGATCTACTTGTATAAGATGTACCTCTCTAGCTTTTCAAGTGATTCCAATATGGGGATTGTTGTTTTAGCCTGGGAGAATTTAGATTTGGGTAATTGCATGCATCTTTTTATAATATCAAAGTGTTAAAACACTTGGATTGGATAAGGTTTTTATACTTACAAGTGAACAAAAGCTAAAGATTTCTTTCAAAATCAAGAGAACAATAGATTAGAAAGAATAGATTTCATTCAAAAGCTTTAATCCACTTAGCTATCTCGACTTTCAAAAGTATGCTTGTTTGCTATGTGCATTTTCATCCATACCAGAATAGATTATTTACAAGAAGGGACGAATTCATAACAGAACTGTGAATATATGAACTAGGGTACCTATTGAATCCAATCCGGAAGATTCTATAGAGATCAACTGATAGACCTCTACTGCATATTACTTTGGAGGAGAAATTAACTTATTTTCTTCCGAATCGTTCTTCATGGAAGCATCTCCACCCATCAATTCCTGAAAGCCTTCAACCTTCAAGGGTTGAGCCCTAACCATTCCCGTGTTCCTGCATAAAGCAATAAATATTAGATACATCTTCCGGCAGCTATAAAAATGCATATTCTTCAATCAAATTCACTTCATATGGGACCCCAAAAGTTGTAATAGTAAGAGAAAAAAGTAAGAATCAAATCTAATTAATAGAGTTCCTTACGGGGACTGGATTTGTGGAACTTGAAGAGAATTCATTGGCCTAAACGCATTGTTGGCTTGAGCACGGAAAGTAGATATTGCAGCAAGTTGTTGCTGCCTCAACTGATGCACCTGGGGGTTTCTGGCATTCATTGCTGTGAAGGCATTATTATCCAATGGAGAATCAGAAGGATTCTCCATCTTCACTTGGACCATAGGTCTGTCCTTTTCCATATTCATATTCGAATTCATGGAAGGACGAGTTGTCAACTGTTGTTGTCTTCTCAACCTCTCCCGCTGCTGTAGTTGAAAAGCTAGATGCTTGGCATTATTCATTTGCTGCAAAATTGGATTCATTTGTCTTGGAATCTGAATTATAACAAAAGCAAATTGACATAAATATCATATTCAACAAAAATACTCCAAAGCTGAAACAGAAACTTGGTTAAAAGTAAAATACAATGCATCTTAAAAATCCTAAGTTTTGACTAGTTTCTTAACTTCAGCCTGAATATTCTATAAACCTTTATGGCAATTCTGTTTTACATGTGACCAAAGTTTTCTCCCACATATAATTGTGCACAATTCACTATTCATGTGGGGGATGGACACCCCAGCATGACTCTCATCTCATGTCCCATGGAATGAACAGGTGGCCTAGAATCTGATCCTACGTTGAATCAAGGTCTAAGGTCCATTTCCCTTCAAATATTAGTTAATGCATAAAAAGATGCATCAATAATATTCTTCTTCAACATAAACAAAATCTGACGCAACTGCACCACCTTACCCTTGCACAACCACCATCCAGAACTCATTAATTGTTAGAAACCAAAAATAAAGATTAGTTAAGCAAAACTAATCCAAGAGTACCACAAAAACTACTAATTCATAATCAGATAAAACATGCTAAAATTTCTTTAGGATGGAATCACCCAAACATCAAATCTCAAATCTTTCAAATAATGAGAGAACAATTTAAAACTCAGCTTACTGTAGGACAAGGCAGAGGCGAAGAAGAGAGGATGGGAATGATGGTGGCCTATGAACAGTGGAGGTAGATGAACTGGGAAAAGGAGGATAGGGTGTAAATTTGAACGATTAGGGGGGTGGAACCAATATGAAAGGTGGTGATAGCCAGACACTGTAATGGGAAGAAATGGGAATGGTAAATACTTATTATGGGTTGAAGGGGTTAGAGGTAGCTGTGGGTAGGAAGGGCAGGAAGATATGAGAAGGCGAAGATCGATTCCTTGTTTAAGCCCCATTTTTCCCAAAACTTATTTTTCTAAAACTCATTTTTAACTACACATTCTCCCACAAATTAATTTTACACGTAAATCCAAAACTTTTCCGTATTTTTTAACCCCACATTCTCGAAAAAATCACTATTCCGAAACAAATTTCTCCCGAAAAATGGGGCTCAAATAGGGGCCTAGTTTGGAAGCGCAGAGCAACAGTAGTGGGGGGATAATGCAGTAGCGGCAGTGACTTGCCTAGAAGAGAGGGATAGGAAGATGAGCCTTCTTTTATTTCCATTTCCTACAAGAATAGACTTTCCTTTGTTGAGAGAGGGGAAAGAGGATTCAAGGAATTAGTTGAAAAAGAATTTCCTGGTAAAAAGAATTCACATTCTCTTCTATTGCTACTAAACAAAATAAAGGACAAGATCTTCTTGAAAATCCATTTTATCCAGGCAATTCTGAGTGAAACTGGGCTTCACTTATTGAACAGATAATTTGGTCTGTAAAATGCTGAACTGAGTACAATAGAGCACGAAAACTTGAACTAGAACTACAGAAATATACATTAAAAATAGAAAGTAAAGAGAGACAATATTATATACCTGTTGAGACTGCTTAATGGGAGCTTGATGCTGTGTTTGCAACTGTAACTGCATTCCTGGTATTTGGACATGACTTTGTTGAATAATATTCCTCTTAGTATCCTTTACAAGCTCAGATAAAGTCCCAAGGTTACTGGTGATTAATGGGGAAGGATGTAAGATAGTCAAAGATAATACAATCTGATACAGAAAATAGGTATAAGAAAATAATTCTAAGAAAGCTAGAACAGATGGATATAAACAGTGATCATTATCCTGAAACAATCATCATCCATTGAGAAGACCGGAAAACAAATTAAAACAGCTCAGGGCAAAATAATAATAATAATAATAATAATAATAATAATAATAATAATAAAATAAATTTATTGTCCGCAACAAATTTACAAAGTGAACATGCAGAACTTCATGAAACCAAAGTAGGAATAATATATACATATAGATAGATAGATAGATAAATAGATAGAAAGATACAGATCAGTTATCCTCAGTAACATTCAGATTCAACCCTGTTACCAATGGTAAAGTCCCATCTGTGAACCTTAGAATTTTGTCCTATATCCAGCTATCATCCTTAACACCCCCACACAGTAGGTTTCATCAGAAAATGATCCTATAGGAATATGAACAGCCACAGAAAGAAAATCAGAACGCTACAAGAATACAACATAAACGGTCCATCACTGACCTATATCCAGCTTTTTTAAGGAACATCTTCAGTAACTCCATGGCTGAACACTGTTTGCTGTAACTGTCAGCAAGGACTTTTAGAGTACGACCTAATTTACCAATGTGACAACTCAAAAATTGAGCTAACACTTCCAAAGGAACTTCTGAAGAAGCTTCAAATCCCGCACTTGTTAGTAATCCTGCTGCCACCTTTTGCGACATCTGGGATGCTTGTTCTTGACCAAGAAGCTTTCTGCTCCCTTGATATCCATGCTTTCCACGAGTTTGACTTCCTCCCTGTTCTATGTTTAGATATTCTGGACGTATACCAAGTCTCTCTATCATAATAGGGCTGATAACAGGGCTCTTGGTCATCATCCGGGGTAAGTTATCCAGAACCCCATTGAACTCCACTTTCTGATTGTTCTCCACTACAGTTGTTTGCAAGACTGCACTATCTGGGACACAATTTAAAGTAAACAGTGTTTCTGGGAAAAATGGCATTTCATCAACAGCACTACTGTCATCTACAACGGAGTTTGATTGCAGATTCGATACATTTTCCGACATGGGATTGGTAAAACTCAAGTTCTTATCTTCCTTAAAAGCTATTCTCCTCCTCTTGTGATTCTCAAGAACTTTAAGATATGTACACATCTGCTCAGGTCTCCGTTTTTCAGACTCTCGATCCCCAAATGATAACTTATATGATTCACTTGCTCTGTATTTCTTATAGAACTGACTATACCATGTTTCTGGCAATTCTTCACGCTTAAATCTTTGGGACACAGCATCAACTTCTAATTCACCAAATCTTGATCCACTACCAAGAGCTGCTTTGGATTGAGCCTGTAAGATGTCACAATAATGTCAGATAGGCACAAGAATTACTGGCATTAAAAGAACAAGTAAGAGAAGACAGAAAGATAGTTCGGTATCATGAGAAGAGATGAATAAGAACAATTCCTTCAAAAACATAAGCATAAATGAATATACAAAAGAAAATCTTAAAAGCAAGGTTCAATGTTTGAAACCACATATTGAGTTGTAACTTCAGCAAAAAGCAAATTCATACAGTTATCATGACAAAGTAAAAGGATAAAGATATTTTGTGTATCACATAAAATAAAATAGTAAGGCATTCGAAGTTGATATAAATGAATGGGAAGAAAATCCAAACTAGAGTGATCAGAAAGGTATCCAAAACAATAAGGGTTAAGATAAGCAAGAGTCTTGGGGTTTACAGGAGGGAAGCCCTTGGTATATCAATGCCACTAGAAAGCAGAGACCTGGGGTTGCTGGCATTACCCCCATGAATATTTCTTTTCCATTGTCATTTTCAACAGGATTCTGAATAGTGAATCAGAAAGGATCCTGCGGCTCCAATAGCTACAATTTCATTAACTCCATTCATCCAGTCAGCTTGACTCATTTAATGATAGTATGTTATTGTCAGATCCAAACATAGGCTACTTTATTTGGTTATCATATCTTCACTAGATGTTTATGGAATCATTATACGTGTCAATCTAGTATTTATGAGACAATTTTTTGATAGCCTATGTGACACGGGAGTGTAATAATTTTACAATGAACAACTGAAGATCAAGAAGAAAAAGAGGGTCCAATAAAAGAAGAACTGAGGGCAAGAGGAAATCAATTTTTATTTAAATAATCAAGGGCGAATATTTAAATTAATAAGTCCTTTATTTCTAGAGCAACTTATCAAATATCAAAAGAACTTCTAATAAGCTATAGCTTTATCAAAATATTAAATCTAACATAATCTAATCTAAACAATCATAATGTGAAACTCTTATTTTAAATGCCTATCAAACTTTTAATTCTATTCTCTCTATCTCCATCACTCTGATACTAGGACCAATTGATCAAAAAAAGGTTTGTGATGCAGGATTTGAACAGTC